TCTATGCCTAAGTGTCAGACATCATTTCAGAAGAAGCAGCAGAAAGAGCCAGAGGAATGGTGAGTTTGCAGTGATTTTGTGTCTCCTAGGAATTTAGAAGCTACACTCGTAAAGTCTCACCAGCATGGTTCCTTATACATGAGTTGAACAAGGACAATAGACATGCTAAACCTGATGGGAGAAAGCCCATGAGGCCTCAACTCTAGGCAAAGAACTGCAGACAACAAAGAATGCTGAAAGCTGTAGACAAAGCCTTCCCAGGGAATAGCAAAATAACAAATTGATTATCCAAAACTGCATGGTCAGTCATGAAAACATGGGCACAGGCAGAATTGTACAAATTGAACAGTTGGTGTGTGTGTGTGTTTGTGTGTGTGTGTGTGTGTGTGTGTGTGTGAGTGTGTGTGTATGTGTGTAACAACAATGGATGAAAACAGATACCATGAATTGGAAAGAAATAAATGGGGAGGGTATGAGGTTTGGAGGAAGTAAAGGAAAGGGAGAAATGTATAATCTCAAAAAATAAAAGAAATAAATAAAAAAGAAATCTGTCACCAAAAAGATAAAAAGAAAATTGGTTAATGTATGTAATGTATTTATGTGTCTTCCACATTATAGAGTCTGTATATTTTAAGAAGTTTGATCCTTTCCTTTCTTGTTTGAAGACTCCTGGGATTTTAAGTGATTTTTGGTCTTCTATAATTTCAAATGTTCCTTTCTGTATCTTTTCTGCTTTTGCTAATCTCAATTAGTGTTTGGTTACCAGGAACACCAAAACAGCTATTTTTCCCATTTTCATGTTGGGAAAGCCTGAAGCCTTGATGGCAATTTTGTTTCAGTTGCAAAGTCTGGGTTCCTATTGTTTGAGGGAAAATCTTATATAATTCCAGTTAGTTTCTTGGATAGATGATTTTTCCTGACATATTTATATTCTTGTTACTTCTGAAAAAATATTTTCTAAAAATTTAGATGTTTCATATGAATTTTTAGTCATATATAGACTTTTAACATTTGTAGAGTATTTCCTGCTGCATTCATTGTGGATACTTTTTAAAGGATACTGACCTTCACATCAAACATCAAGGAATCAAAACTGCATTTCTTCATTTAAAATAGATCCATTTATCTATACAGGCTTACTCCTAAATAATTTCCTATATTTAAACTACTGCTAGTGAGCTCTTTATGTAGCCTTAGGAATTTTTTTTGTCAGAAGATAGTATTTTTAAAAAGGATTTTTGTTGCCTTTGGAATTCCATTCATGGTGCTTGTAAAAGTTGCTTTAATAACTATTTTCTGTCTTTCCACAGTCTACCATAAATGGTGATTGTGCCTTTTTTTAACAGGCTTTCAAATTTTGAAAAACAAAAAGCATTTTCTTACTGTGTAGTTTTATTTGTACAATAGGCAAGCTGCCTGATAACTAAAGCAGACTTAGTATGGACTCATAAGTGAATATACACGCATTAGTTTTAAAAAGTATTGCTAATGTTTTGAAAACTTGTTTCCCAGCAGTGTATCACTGAATAACACCTGGAATGTGTCTAGGTTACAAACATTCTTAATTTTGAATTAACATCTAACTTTGTCATAGTTCTCTTCTCAATGTCTCTTCCCTTGTTCTTACTTGTTTTTAATTGAAATAGAACTGTGTCACTTTCCCTTTCCATCTCCCTTTCCATCTAGCTGCTCCCAGCTCAGCTAGCCTTCTTTGGACCCCTCCCATATTTTCCTCTTTTTCTTTGATTATTATTACATTCACATGTATATGTGTTTGTACACTGCTGAATCCATATTTGTTGCTTGTGTGTATATGATTTCAAGGCTTATCACTCTTCTTTGGGCAAACCAATAAGAGGCTCATCCCTGGTAGAGCCTACTTCTCCTTTTCCATTAGTCTGTGATTCTTTGTCTATGGATGAGACACCATAACATTTTCCTCTTTCCATTTTAACATATCCATTGATATTGAAATAGTTCTGGGTTTGGCAGGAAATGCATTAAGGTACAGTCAGTGGCACTTAAATGTTGGTGGCAACCAAAATCAGTCTTATTGAACTTAACACAAAGAAAATCATGCTTAGTACTGGAAACGTAGCCAGTGTCCTGGGATAGGGAGGCCACAGACTTTTAAAAAAAAAAAGTACCTACTGCCAGCACTTTGCTAGGCCAGCATCATTTCTTCCCAGTCTAGAGATAACATTTAAACTTGTACACACAGATAAGTGTCACTAACACCCCTCATCAAAGAAATCTCTCTTTACAGCAGATAGAAGAAAACCAACTGGGCATAACACAGATATTAACAGGTTTCGGTCAGCACAGCCTCAGTAGATACATTCACATCTCAGCTCCTGCCCCTATGGCTCAGGAAACAGATGGAAAAGCCAGACTACCAGGAAGTGTGCCGGGAAACAGTCTCTACTAGAAATGACTGCACAAACTTAGTCCTTCCCAATTGCAACTTTTCATAAAATACTAGGATTTAATACCAATGTCTTGAATATAGCTATTACTTAATGGTTTTCCAGCAAATATTTCCTGTTATTTTCTTATCATATCTTGAGGCTCAGATTAATGCATTTTATCCCCATGAGTTTATGATCTATATAGTCTTAAAGACTATGTTTTAATCTCCTTATCAGTAGCATTTTGTGTATGGCTTACCAGATACATTTTACTAGTGTTATCTGTTAGTCTAAACTTATTCTAGAACATATAGAGTTTTGTTTCTTAGTTTTCCTAGTTGACTGGGCCTATCTGTAGACTGATTTGTTTTGTATCACTTTATCTGATTGGAGAATTTTTTAAAATAAACCTCCTGCTAATTTGACCTCATGTTTCCACTGGCCTTTTTTTTTCTTTAGGTACAGTGTGAGACTTTCTTGCCCTCCTCACCTTTTCTGTAGACTTTGCTTATCCTTATGAGACTGTCTCTCCAAATTGCTGAGTCAAGCACTTGATATTCATGTCAAGTAATTTACTCTATTCATTTCATCGAGTCTTCAGAACTGACACATAAATTTACATATTACATCTTGGTGTATTGATCTTTCCTACCAATATTTATCTTTCATTGAATTGTAGTACATGTATACTAGGTACAAATGACACTTTGAGTCTCTCAGTGGGATGTAAAATGAATGAACAATATCTATTCTTCAAAGAATTTCACAATTTATTGAGCAAGCTACTTTGGCAATAAATTCATTACTGAAACTAGTTACAATTAAAAGCAGAATAAATAATGTTCTCACAAAACAGAACAGGAGAAATATTTCTAAATCGTTTCATAGGGAAGGTGGAACTTGGGTCTTAATTTTAAGGGTGTGCAGGATTGGGTGAGAAAAAAAGGACACTGAGCAAAAACCTGTAGCAGGGGAGTCATTGATATACAAGTAAGGGATGGGGCAGCCACCACACTGGTGGTCTGTTTCAGAAAGGACTAGATACAAATTTTAGAGAACAGGTTGGTTAGGGGATCCTTAATCCTGAATACTAAGAAGGAGAGGAAAATAATCTCAGAGATGTGTACTTCATTACTAATAAGAGTAAATACCAACTATTGTGTTCTCAGGCTGTATAGTGCACTGAACTACATCTTTGTGTTCAACAAATACAATAATGTTGAATAGAGAGATGATATTAGCCTCACTTTAAGGAAGAGATAGCTGTAACTCTGAAAGTGAGGTTAACCTGGCAATGTTGTGAACATGGGTTAGGGCTGACATTAAAACTGTCTGGAGAAGAATCAATATAGCTGACTTGACAGGCAAGTTTCTCTTCACCTTCTATTTAAGTGCCCTGAAATTTTAGTCCAAAGATACAATATTTAATTCATGGTCATGCTGGAAAGTTACATCAAACTATGAATAATACTTGATAAGTAAGGGACATAGTTTGAACATAGAGAGAAACTATGATGTGTACATTTTCAACGGAATAGCTGATGACTAAAAATGGATCTTTAGATGGTACCCAGGACTGGAGAGCTAGAGGGGCTAAGGAATTCGCTAGAAAAAGCCAAGAGTCAAGGTTTCACACCTCCTACTATTTCCCTGTGAGTCAGAAATAATAGATGTTTTACTAAAGAATGTTCTTGAGACATAGAGAGCAGGTACAGTCCTAGGAACACAGAGAGTCTCCATGAATGACGGGATGTTCCTAGTCTAGAATAATGCTACACACCCACTAATTAAAACATCATAGTAGCACGGTTAACTCCTGTTCATGGTCAAGATATCTGAACAAATCATTCTTTACAGAGAATGTCACACAGGGAAGTCCCAAATAAAGAGACAAGCCCACAGACAACAATTAACCAGCATTTAATAGTGATAGCACTGTCAGAAAGGAACTAAGTTCAGTGGAGTTTTCTTTGAGTATCCTCTACTTTTTTGTTGTTTTTCACCTACCATTTTCTGTTCCAAACACAATAGATAGTTTCCCTGAGTGTCCATCATCCTTCATATTAACTATATTGAACTTGTATTTTTATCTGTCTACATTGATAGGACCTTTCATTTGTAACACTTGAATGCTCATGCTTGTTCCATTATACCTGGAACCACTGGAAGCAGAGATTGAAGAACCCCCAAGGAATTTTAGAATGTTGAGGCTCAAACTGGTTCTTACTTCTGAAAGTACTTAGAACAGCAACTTTTTAATAGTTTCCAAGCACTTAGTTTAGCAAGCTATGGGAAGGCAGTATATTTCAGTAATGTGTTACTATTTCAGCGTATTCCCAACGGGCTTTATACATATACTTGTGAAGAATAAATACCCACAGTGACTAATCTTGTTTTAATTAACACCAAAGAAAATAACAGTGGTTGGCATGACAAACTATTTTCAGGTTTTCCTTTTTTAACTATGTCAGTTGCCATTTAGGAGGTGGCAAGCAGAACTTCTTACACTTGTCATCTGGCGCCCTCCACCCCCATTCTCTCATAAGAATGAAAAGGCCACTTATTCTAAGATGATATATACATCATACTCACATTTTGTAGCCATCAGACTTTCCAAAGATTGGGCCCATCTTAAAACTTCCTCCAAAGTAAGGCTTTGCAAAGAAACAAAAGCACTGATTAGGCTAAATTACTGTCAATGTTTTTGCTGAACTAAATAATTCTTTGCTATCTTGAGAATAATAGCAAAATATAATTACACTGCTCATTTTGTTTTGGTTCTTTATATTCTAGTTTTCACTGAGTTTTTAAACTCTAAAAATATAGTAGGTATATGTTTGAGAGTATAAAATAAATATTGAAGATAGGAACAATAGTTGTATAATCTCATTTCCAAATTTCTTTTAGAAATGTGACAGATTTAGCCTTTGTTATATATATGTTTGTGTTTTCAACTAAAAAATTATTTTTTCCATACATAGTTTCAATGTTTATTCTCCTCTTAGACACATTTTATATGTGATTACTATGCTTTTATTCCTTAACATATAAATTAAACATTTGTAGATCATCTACATAGTATAATATTCTACAAGGGACCTTCTGGAGATTTTATAGTCTAAAATATTTTGAGTATTTCTTAGTTTTTCACCATTAAAACTACACACAGCCAAGCTTGCATGCCTTTGCAGCTGTGGTAATTTTGTAGGTTGTAGAAACAAACTGAAAACAGTTAACAGGCACACACTGAAAGTTCCAGGCACAGACTCACACACTGCCTCTGCAGTATTGTCTTATGTTTCCCTGCCACTGTTACACATGCACCCCTTACCTAATTAGTGCTGGCTGGGTTTATCTTCAAAAGTTGTGCACACATTCTCATGGAATATCGGGTCTATTATGTTTGCACTTTCTTATTTGATATGTGTATATTTATATGTTGACACTTGAAGGCTTTAACATTAATGAAGGTAGACTATGTCAAGTCACCTTCAACTTAAACAGAATAAACAAAGCCACCCTTGGAAGATGTTTGTGAAAGGTGCAGGCTTGAAGGCTCCATTTCTGTTTCTGGTGGTGAGCTTTATGAGGTGACTGCTAAGTGACCCTACTTTCTCACACACAAATAACTTTATTTCCTTGTATCAAAGTCACTAATATGTTCACCACCACTCAACGGCTACCTCTCATGGGTCTTCTTGCCTTTAGCACCAGTGTATTCGAAGAAAACTGAAGATGCGAGCAAGACCTGCTTGTTGTACTTGTAGAGTCAGCCTGACTGTTAATTCTTCAGGAATGAGCATCAGCATTAACTGGTTATGAGCATAAAAAAGGATTTAAAAAGTTAGATGATACCTAACATAGAACGACATTAGCCCTGTACCAGCTTTGATAGTCCTGCCAGTTTTATGTAGACTTTCGCATTGGCTTCCAGGGTGCGCTGCATTCAACGCCCTCAAAAACATTTCCATGAAAACTCTTTCTGACTCACTGTCCTTTTCTTTCACTGGAACTTCAGAAAAAAATTAGCCAAAATAATATTTCCAATCTATTGAAGTGGGAAGTGCAAGGCAGGTTCCTTGTATACTTTCCTGCGTCACTGATTCTCATTGTAGGGAAAGACTGAAATTTCCAGTGAGGGGATACAAGATCACTGTGTTGGGAAATTGTTTCCAAGAGAATGCCTTTGCCTGCAAGATTTATGAGACTCACAGATACAGACCATGTTTAGAGAAATTGGGTTGTTTGAACTTCATTTTTGCTTTTGCTTATTTTTCCTTTCACAGGATTCGTGCTGGCCTGTGACTATGAAGATGGTATCCTCAGAATTATGCAAAGATTATTTTTAAACACCTTTGCCCCCATATTAGCCTGAGTTTTCTCCAGTTTTGAGTCACTTCCTTTTTTTTCTGGATAGTAGGCAGCAAAAAGCAATCAGACATGGGGACCTTTTGAAATTCATGGCATTGGTGCGTAGAGTCTGAGGGTTGGGGGATCCAACTCTGATGTTGGACTTAATACATCTGCACACCTAGGTTTTGCTATTATCTCTATATCTGACAAAATTATTATGAATGCAAAGTTCCTGTCAAATGACCCCAAGCAGCATTCTACAATATGAATTCTCTTTTCTCGAGCTCCTCCTTTCAATGGAGCATTTACACTGTAGACTACAGGAAGTCCAAGTTCTGATTGTGATAGACCATAGGGATCATCAGGGGAAGAAAGCCGGTCTCAGTCAGACTATTGTATCTTTCTCCATGGGTGCACCTGCATGGTTCACTGAGCATTGGGCTTTATCACCCACCACTACAGCTACCTTTCTTCACCAAGCCATAGCTTGTGACCTTTTGAAACCCTCTTTACTTCAGTGGAAGGTCAGACTGGTCAAGAGCTCTGACTTACAAGGATGTGTTCAGAATAAGGTCTCCATTTGACCTAGATTGGGTAAAGGTGGTTAATCTAACAGGGGTCTTTAATCTGTGGATTCTTTGTGATAAATCCGATTGTTTGGTTACCTTCCAGTTGTGCTTTCCATTCTAATCTATCTGGATCTTTATAAGGTAACTTATCCCAGTGCTTCAGAAGCTTAGTAAGTAAGACCACGAGTGTAGGAGCAACCTAGGCTGTATAACCAGACCCTGTAAAAAGCATGGAAACAAACCAACAAATAACAAATTTCCCTGCATTCAGAAAAGATTTGGAGCTTGCTAGGGTTCCCTTGTAAACCCCACCAAGAAATGGAGGTGTCTGGCGCCTCTTAAGAAGGTTTTACTCGTAAAATATGTTGGATTAAAAATCCCTAAGCTTCTTTTAAAAAGAACATTTGTAATGGTCTCTAAATATCGAAGTTGGTAAGTTCTTAGGTGTATACCACAGATAATGAAAATGAGCTTTAGTGTGATACATGATTGCTCTTCTGCTGGGATTTCTTGTGCATAAATGGAAATTGTACTTTCTCAGAAAATTGTATTTAGAGTACGGTTAAATATATATGCACCTATTTATCATGTGATGAATTCTTTAAAATGGCTATGATATTTAAAAGCTACTTACTTTGAAGGGAGCCTCTTAGATTCAGCTCTGCATAGCTTACAAATCCAACAGATATGCCTGTTCATTTTTTTCTAAAAACAAAAGCATATAGATATATTATTTAGTCATGTGAAATGACAATCTGATGAGTCAATTTTCAAAGATTATATAAAATTATAAATCTCAAAAGTTAATAGAAGTCACTGTGGGTCATGGAGGAAGAAGGAATAAAATGAGTCACCTCATACATATTTCATATGAATATAGGTTAGGAGATTTCTCAGTGACTTTGGAATTCCTTTTACCCATCAATTCATTAATAATAGGGCTTTTAAAATACAGAGCTCTGAAAGATGTATTTTAATTAGAACCCACTGACAATGAATTCATTAACTTCTAATGTTTCCTTTTTGGGATGATTCTTATTTTTAGAAGGCTCCCTAAATATATGAAGGAAAAAGTGCCTTTTTGCAATTAGTCAAATAAAACAGCATAAACAGCCAAATAAAAACTCCTTAAGAATGAGTTCGTATAAGAACTTAGAAGAGAAGCTTTTACACAAACTTAGGCATTTTGGACACTGTAACTTTGAAATTCTGACAGAGTTTGACTAAGTCTAAGCTGAATGTATATATATAGCAACACATGTCATGGTTGGTTTTTAACTCGAGACTTGGAGAAAATAACTAAATACATGCTAGGGATAATTAAATCCATGTTTCCTATAAAATCTGGAAATAGTTTGGTAGCTGTACATAAGTAATTATGTGAAGTGAGTTACTAAGGATCAGTCGTGAGCTTTTGTGACTTTATTGAGTGTTCTGAACTCTTGTTCTCTGCCAGGCTCAGTGCCAGTGGGTGATCTCCAGAGACCCTGCTCTTCTCTTCCTGTCCTTACTGGAAAGCCAATGAAGAAAACATGCTGTAGGATTCTGTTAGAGGGGCTGCGTATACCTGCAGCAGGAGAACAAAGTCAGACTTGAGAAAGGTCAGTGTAGCCATCCCAGTAATGGACCATTCGAGTGGGAGTCTATGGGCTGCGTTGAGAAGTGTTACATGAAAGAAGGAGGAATTGCGTATGCAAAGGTTAGCAAGTCCTGGTTAGTTGAAGAAAAAAAAGAATTGGGTTGTCTAGGGTGAAAAATGGAGAGAATTTGAAAGAAAAGGCTAGAGAGTTAAGATTGGTCCAAGAATCATCTTTGGATGAATCTTTTGAGAGAAAGGATGGAAACAAGTTTACCTGAAAGGTTTTACTTGAAAGTAAAGTTGGGTATTTTCATAAACACTTAAGAAAAATAAAAATATAATGGGATGTCTTGGGAAAGAGTGTGAACTGAAAAGACAGCCCAAGATGAGGGACAAATACATACACATCTCAGTACGACTGTGAAAAAGGAGCCCACTAGACAAGAATCAGAATAGTACTGTATCATGGGCATCAAAGAACATGCTTATATTGATGAATTCATAGTTTGTGGTTAAGTTTCAGAAAAAATACCCACTATACACTAACATTTAAAGATCGTGTTAAAAAATCCTGTGTTGTAAAAGACTTGTACAATTTTAAAAAATGAATGAGTAGTCATTTTGGTGTCAAAGCCCAAAGAGAGTGAGAGAGCAAAGGATTTAAAGATGCTCTCAGGCCTGTTAACAAGAGTGACATTAATGACCACAGTGGAGCAGAGCAGGCAGCAACAAGGTGGAGAGAGTAACAAAATGGAGTGCTAGTACCCTCACCCCCATGTTGTGTGGAAGCTGCTGAAGACGGATACAATAGGGACAGTTACTGGCCTCTGCTACCTGACTCTTCTAGCTTGCACGTTTGTAGCGTGTGCCAGTGAACTCTTTAGTGTGGCGGTGTGAATTTGGTAAAAGACATCCATGGACAGAAGTAGAAGATACGAGAGAAGTGGGAAAAAATAGTTGAAGAAGCATCCTGCAGCTAACTAGATGTACATGGCGGAACAAATGGAAGGGAGGGAAGTTAACTGGTTAACTAAGCCTCTTTTTTATTGTAAATATTGTAGTGTAAGTAGAAAGGAAAGTTTATTATGGGGCTATGTGTGTATGCAGCTAGACTCTAGGTGACCTTAAACACAGGAATAAAATATTGTTGATAATAGTAATTTACTAAAGTTTTAAAATCTCAAAGTGGTGAAAATAGAAGCATTTTTTGGAAAGATAAACTTGACTGAAGAAGACTAATAATGAAATAATTGAGGTTAAGAGAACTGTGGTATTGGCTGCTTTATTTATAATGATCCTGTGTATAAGGGGCCCTAAACTCTATTAGTGAAGTTTAGTTTATGTACTCAATGGCTCTCGCTTATTCTTGATCATCTTCCCTGTCAATGTAGCGACTCATCCTTGTCTCCCACAAGGACTCAATATTTCTTCGTGAACAATCAATTTTGTTTCATTGTCTTTTCATTTCATCTACTAGAGCCATGTGTACACATTTTCAAATTATTATCATCTCTGTAACTCTAAGTCCTTTGTAGATTATATAATAGCTATAGCGGGATCAGACAAAACCACAATGGTCAGTATGCGACACTCCCTGAGGATGCACACTGCAGGCACCTTGTGGGTGTACTGGTATTCAGGGGGTTTCCCAGAGCTCCCGAGAGCACTCAGAGTATATTCAGTTAGCTCAGAATTCTGAAACTAGAATAACACACACTTTAGTTGAGGCTTTTATTAGCTCCGTGACCTTGGGCATGTTAATTTACCTCTCAGATTATCTATTTCCTATTTCCGTTTCTCTGAAACGGAACAATGAAGATTAGAAAAAATAGATGCATGCAAAGAGTTTCTGTTCCAGATGATCTGACCCTCAGCTTCTTGTACTTTGACACTCAGAATGTTTCCCAAGCCCTTAGTAGGAAGAAGGCACACATCCTACCACAATATATTCCTTCCTTCTTTTTACATTTCAACTCAGATGACCACTTTTCCTTATTGATATTGCTCATTCTTCTCTGTAAATCCTGTTTCTTTTCATTTTTTTCAAATTGTTGCCTCATTTATGGTGACTATTTTTAGTTATTAGGCTAAAGACTGAGTTAGCCAAGTCAGTAAGAGATATTTAGAATCCTCCAGGAATGTGTGTCATACCAAACAGCAAAAGCCACAAGAGAGGATTTGCATGGCCAGAAGTTTGAGTGCTAGAGTAGAAAGGTGAAAAAGGACAAGTCCTCTGGCTTGTCTTCTTGGAGATGATTGTGCAGGTTTTCTCTGCTATTAAGATGCATGGTTAAGCACTGAGCTGAACTCAAGAAAGCCAGTAACAGAGAGGGAGGACTGATGACCAAAGGGATTAAGACTGGGCTGGTTTAACCCCCAGAAACAGCTGACCTGACAAAGGTTAACTCTTGAATCCCAGACATCAGCCTGGGAATCCAGCATGGGACTGATCAAGACCCCCTGAATGTGGGTGTCAGTGAGGAGGCCTAGGTAATCTATTGAGCCTTGGGCAGCAGATCAGTACCCATCCTAAGTATACACACAGACTTTGGACTCCCATCCAACAATGTGAGGTGCACTCTCACCCTGAACTCTTGGGGGGAGGGTCTAGGCCCTGCCCTGTATGAAATGACAGACTATGGACACCCCCATGGAGGGCCTCACCCTCCCTGTGGAAACGAGGGGATATTGGGGGGAGCTGGGGGGAGGGCACGGGAGGAGGGGAGGGAAAGGGAAAGGGACCTGGAACTGACTTGTGAAGCAACCTTGTTTCTAATCTAAATTTAAACTTAAAAATAAATAATAATAGTAAAAAAAAAGAAGCATGGTTTTGGCCAGGTGATGGTAGTGCATGCCTTTAATCCCAGCACTGGGGAGGCAGAGGCAGGTGGATCTCTGTGAGTTTGACATCAGCCTGGTCTACAAGAACTAGTTCCAGGACAGCCTCCAAAGCCACAGAGAAACCCTTTCTTGAAAAGAAAACAACAACAAACAACAGCAACAACAAAAGCAAAAGATGCATGGTTTAAGCCAAAACAGGAATCTGAGATCCACGTGGGCACCCTTGCCAAGTTGCAGCACCCCAGATGCTGTTTGTCTCACGTGTGGCCCTGATTTTCTAGACCAGTGAAGCTCTGTCTAGTTCAAAAATAACATTGTGCTCAGTTAAATGATTGCTACAGAACAAGGTTCTATGGTACAAACTATTCATTAGTTAGCAACATCTGAAGGGACTGAAATATAGCTATATATATGTATATATACACATTAAGTACATATACATGTTATTTAAAGTTCTAACTTTTCTACTCTATGTAGTTTCCAATGTTAGTTGAAAAACACGTGTGAGTCACACTCAATTTATTAGATTACAGAATACAAATGGAATGCAATGTCATAAAATTACTAATTTTAGTGAAATAATTGTGCACAAGATGTATTACACATAGGATACATAGAGTATAAAAGAAATTGTTTGTCTTCTATGATGTCTTCTGTGTTTCTAGTCCCCAAAAACCTGAGCCTTGATGGATGTTGTCCTAACACTGTGGGTCTGCTCCCTAGGTCTGCTTAGGACCTTCAGCTCTCTCTTGCCCATTGAGGTTTCCAGAACTAAATGTCCACCCACATGTCCATGTGCCTTCATACTGATTGTTATTGGATTCATGAACACCATGCACCCAACTTTGCTGGGATGAAGGACAACACTTTCTATATCTCATAACATTCTCTAGATTGAAGCAAAGAGGTAAGTCACAAATATTCAATTATAAAAAAAGGTCAGATTGGCCAATTGAGCTTATTCTGTCTTCCAATAAAAACACTTGTAAAGTGAGAGGTAAAGAGCACACAAGACTTAAACGTGAAAGAAAAGGAAGACTAAAGGAGAAAGGAAAAGTAACAAAATATTTCTAAATAGTCTTGGAAGATAGAAAGCAGATGGAAAGTAAAGTTAAAATTTGCAAACCTCTAAAATGAGAACAAACATAGATTTAGAAATTTCATTTGAGCAAATGAAGAACATATAATTCACAGTCTGAGGACAAAGAATTTCTAAAACAAGTATTTCTTAAATGCTTCTAATTTGAAAATAAAAATAAATATCTGCAGTTCTACATCCTACAATTTTTGTCAATATTTGTCATTAAATCACACATTTCATCTTTAGTATCCACAAAAATATGAAATGGCAGGGTTAAACACTCTCAAATTTACAATTGAGGAGCTTTAAATAGATGTAGTTAGTATTCACAAAATGGTGAATTCTAATTTTAAAAAGAAGTGTAATAAGGTTTTAATTAATGCCCCCATTAGTGAACCTAAATTCGTTTTATTGGATAAATCCAGCCAAGCATATCTTCAGTTAAAATGTACTTTTCAAATTAGAGCACAAGAGAAAAATAAAATAATAAAATAAACATTAACATTAAACTAGAAGGCTCCTTAGAACTTCAATTCTGTTTCGGTATAATAGAGAGTTCCTAGTTTAGAACACACTAAATTGCCATGATGTAGAACCAATTTGTGAGAACTGATTTGTGTCATGGATAAACTCACCAAACTTCCAATCAGTGGTAACCCTGTTTCTTCATGCTGGTGTAATAACATAGAAATAGTCCATTAGCCTAAGAGTAAAGTAATGATAAAATACAAGGAAGAAGAAAAATTAGTGTGAAAATACATACTTCACAAGGATTTGTGTAAGTACTTGGCCATTGTTTTTAATACAATAACTTCTACTTTATGGGTCTTGGCAATCTCTGTTTGTAAATCCATAGAATTTTATTAATTTCATAGATTAATAAAACGTACATAAAATGCACCTAATCTGTCTTTCCATTTTACTTGATGATCTTACGATAATTTAAATTTGCTTGTCTTTTTTTCTGTACCCTGATGGTAAAATTAATGTGTATTACTTTACAAGTCTTTAAGCACAGTATATTTCTTCTAGTAACTATTTTTTAAAATAAGGGCACATCTCATCAAGGTATTAATTGTAAACATACTGGTAATAGGATGAGTTGTGTATGTACTATGGCATAAATAGATTCACATATCCCCCTAACTTTAAATTAAGGCTTAGAGGCAAATAAAAAATAAATAAACTTAAAAGTTAACCCCTTTCTGCATATTTGAATTTCGGTAGTGCTGACATACACTCTAGAAAATCTTTCTGTTCATACACAAACAAGCACCCCCTCATTTTCTTTTATTTTATCAGGCTGAATACAGTTTTGAAAAACTTGGACTACTTTACATTTTGATTAACTATTTTCATGGAATGGTACAAAAAAAAATCCTGTCCTGTAAGAAAAAGTACTTTTGTGAAGTTTTACTTAGGTGTAGTATGAGGAATGAAGAAATTCTATATGACTGAGATTAACAGTGCTTCATAGAAAACTTAACAATAAACTGACATCACAATGAACAGACCTAACCAACTAGTAGAAATAGCAATTTGGAGATCAATGTTTTTTTAATTCTAAATTTTCTGATTTTGTATCTATATCATTCCACATCCACATAAAATCCATATAAAAATAACACACTCTAAAACCGCAATAGATCTTCTGTTGCCCTATTTAAGTATTATAGAAAGCCATTCTTAGTGTTAGGTACAGAAAACCTAAGACAAGAAAAAAATATGTATTTACATTTTTGTTTATTTTTTAGAAAAAAAATACCTTACATGCATTCCTATAGCCCTGCTACTCAAATCAGTACCCACAGGCATGTATATCAAGACATTCTTCTATTTACCAACTTTTTTACTGAATCTCATACTTACAAATATATTCCATGGAGCAGTCTACCAAGCTACATTTTATTTTCTCCTTGTTATGATCCTTTTGAAATCAGGTTCTGAAATTGCATGAAACACCAAGTACTGTATTTTTCCTGGCACAAAAAGACTCTACTGTCTGTATAACTACCTTCTATGGCACTCCAGCCTCTGTGCTATGAAATTCTAGTTTTACAGACACATATCTATGCAAAGAGAGGTTTTTTGAATATGGAAAGTACTTCTGTGGGATTGCAATGTCTTGCTGATAAAAGAGGTTTTATCTAAACTTATCAGAAAATCTGACATGTCCAGATGGCTGGAAGCAGCAGCTCCTTAGAATTTTCAACTGCTGTAGTCAAAATTTCTCTTCTGAATAATTATTTTTTCGAGCATTTGACAATGTGCAGCCTAGAGGAAAACCCCCTTTAGAGGGAAAAAAGACAGAGACCTGAGTACAAATAAGCAGGCCACCATTGCAAACACCTCATATCGAGTGATGGGAATTCTTGACAGCAACTGATCACAGTAGTCAACTAAGGACCTGTAACAAGCTAAGGGCTCTCTTTTCTGGCTAATCCTTGTAGTTCTTACTGCTGGTCCTTTGAGGCAGTACTTTGACTGTCCATCATTATTCAGTCTGTTAAAATGCCTGTTAAGCCGGGCATTGGTGGCACACGCCTTTAATCCCAGCACTTGGGAGCCTGAGGCAGACTGATCTCTACGAGTTCGAGGCCAGCCTGGTCTACAGAGCGAGTTCCAGGACAGCCTCCAAAAACAATACAGAGAAACCCTGTCTCTAAAAACAAAAAACAAACAAACAAAAAATGCCTGTTAAACTTTGGACTGAACACAGTGTTTCAGATGAGCTGTGCTATTGAATGTAGACTATGGGGAGATGTTTAGTGCTCTTGTCTTATGTCTTGTGTGTGTGTGTGTGTGTGTGTGTGTGTGTGCACGCATGTGAACTCTGAGCACGCTCCCATAGAAATACTGTAATAAAATAGCAAGAAGGATCAGAATGTCATTGTGAGAATACTTCTTACAACATTTAGAAACCTGTATCACATGACTCCTTGTCTAAAGTGCCTTCCCACTATTTCCATTATCCTCTTTTGCTTTCCCAGCCTCTGTGGTTACTCCAAGTTTTATACTCTAAAGATTTGAAATGAGGTCCACAAATAAGAGAGGGCACAGGGTGCTTGTCTTTCTGGATCTGGGTTACCCCATACAGTATATTTCCTACTTCTGTCCATTTACCTTCAGATTTCATTATTTCATTTTCTTTACAACTGAACAGACTTGCATTGTGTATATGTCCACATTTTATCATCAATTTGTCAGTCAATTCAAGGGCATTTAGATTATTTCCTTGTCATGCCTATTTTTTTATTTAAAATATTTTTCATTTTGCATATCAACTCTTGTGTCTCCTCCCTTCCTTTCTCCCACCCCACCTCACCCTTTTCCCATCCCCATACATGCCTCAGAGGGTGTTATGCCTTCCTTGAGGAGTCATCAAAGTCTGTCGTACCAAGTTGAGACAGGACCAAGCCCCTCCCCTTGTAACAAGGCTGAGCAAGATATACCACCATTGGGAATGGGCTCCAAAAAGTCAGTTCATGCACATGGGATAGGTCTAGCCCCACTGCCAGGAGCTCTCAACAGATCAAGCCACATAACTGTCACCCACATTCAGAGGGCCTAGGTTGGTCCCATGCAGGTTCCCTAGCTGTCAATCCAAAGTCTGTGAGCTTCCACTAGCTAGGGTCAACTGTCTCTGTGGTTTTCCCTGTCCTGCTCTTGACTCCCCTTGTTCATATGATCCCATCTCCCACTCTTCAACGGAACTCCAGGAGCTCAGCCCAGTGTTTGGCTGTGGGTCACTGCATCTGTTTCCATCAGTTGTTAGATGTAGGTTCTGTGATGACAATTAGGTTAGTCACTAATCTGATTAAAAAGGAAGGCCCATTCAGACACCTTCTCCACTATTGCTAGGAGTCTTAGCTGGGGTCATCCTTGTGGATTCCTGAGAATTTCTCTAGCACCAGGTTTCTCCCTAACCCCATAATGGATCCCTCCATCCTTCCATCCCTTCCCCAACTCAGTCTTCTTGATCCCTCATGTTTCCATCCCCATCCCCTTCCTTCTACCTCCCTTCACAGTTTATCCTGGAGATCTTCCTGGGGCCCTCAGTGTGTGTCCGTCTTAGAGTCCCCCTTTTTGCCTAGCTTTTCTGGGGTTGTGGATTGTAGCCTGATCATAGCTATTAGCAGAGTGACTATTGAAGAACTACAGGCAACCAATGACTGACTGAGAGGGAGAATCAGTTTTCCCTAAGGACATGTTCAGTATTAGGTTTTCCAATTCCAAGTGATCAGCCCTGTATTTTTCTTTCAGTCAAGTCCAAAGTAATACAAATTAAAACATGCATGATTAGTTACTGTGTAATATTTTTCTGTGGGCTACCTGATAGTTTTATATAGTTGGAATTTAAAATAAATTTTACAAGAACAGAATAATGACTTTGAGAAATTATAAATACCAGGCTTTGCAATTTTTGGTAACTCCCTGGAAATGAGAGTGTGACTACTTCATTATCAGTGGCTTATTGATAAATAGCCCTGTTTCAATGCATCTTAGTAATAGTGGATAGGTTTTGCATGGCACCCACAGACAGTACAGATATGATCAAATACCAGAGTGTGGAGGGCTCTCTAAAGGGATTCCAGTTTCCTTTGTGCTTTGACAATTGAGCAGAGACACACAGTTGCCACAGAAGCAGACAGCTTTTTAAGGAACTTCCGGGGTTTAGAAGAGTAGGCTCAGGTACATAACAAGTTGAGCAAGCTGTTCAGCAGACCTATGTAAAGGCTTTTATGTCACACAGCTCAGGCTTTTTGCTACTTGCATAGTAGGTTTTTCCATGAATGCTCTGTTACATGCAGGTCTACATACATCTTTGTGCCTCCCACAATAATAAGAATTATCAGCTCACATATCTACCCAGGAGCCGTGGGTCCCCAGAGACCCTCAAGAGTGCTCTGTGGTTATGCCAATAACAGAGTTTATTCAACCTTGGCAGAGGGGTTTTCCAGCCTTCCTCTCTGCCAACTTGTTTTTCAATACGCTAATTTTGTAGGGCTCTGTGGAAGGCCTTCTGACCTCACTCTTGGTCCCATTCTCCTGCCTTAGTAATTTTCAGCTCACTCTGTAAGCAGGATAAACTCTTAGTGCAATCTACCCAGCAGGCAGTTGCTGCTGACGCTTGGAGGAGATTAGCATCTCCTGCTTTCCTGAACTCTGGAGCCCTTGCCTTTTAGCCTTCTGTTAGTCTTGGCTATCTGTGCTGAATTTCTTCCCAATGCCTTATCTCATGAAAAACTTCTGCTTGTCTATGTAGACACATTGCCCAGATGTCCAGAATGTGGCCTGAACAATTGCCACCCAAAGTCTGAACCCAAGAGAGCACAGACCTGTTTCTAGTCTTTCACACTTTGACTTGATGATGATGAGACACAGTGTAACTTTGGCTTCTGATGTGTATAACCACCAAGCACAGTGGCAACAATAATTAGATTGTTGTACCTATCCAGCACTGTTAACTGCACAAAATGGACATAAGCAGCAGTGCACACTAGCAGCCAGTTTTATCTGCATTTGTTGCAATGGCTTTTATCCTGCTTACAGAGTAAGCTGAAAATTCCTGGGGCAGGAGAATGGGACCAAGAGTGAGGTCAGAAGGCCTTCCACAGAGCCCTACAAAATTAGATGCCGTTAATTATAGCTATTATCACACAAGTCCATGGAGATCTGTCACTAACTACAGTCACTCTTCATTTCTCCTGAAGCTGCTATAAGTCCATGGAGTCATAGCCTCCCATGGAGTCAGCACAGTGATACTGTCAGCCTTTGGATCTGCAGCCCTGAGTTAGATCACAGTCCTTTCTAACCAGATTCCATTTGATTAGATAGAATTTCATTGTTCCCTCAGAGCGGTAAAGGCAAACGCTTCCTTTGTGAGGTAGAGTATTCAGGGAACTGGGTCGAGGGTGCCCCTTCTGAAGATAATTTGCATTGGCTCTGCTAGGTAGCCCAGGTGTTACCATGGCCTGATCGCTTTGCACCTTTTAATTTTTACCATAGAGTTCCTGGACCACATAGGAAGGGCAGGTTTAAATTACAAATTCACAGAGCCACTTCTTTGCCACCAATATTGGAATATTGGTAGGTTTCTTTTCTCTTTCTTTTAAAAAATGAATAATAAAGAACTTCTCTCTCTCCCCGTGTGTGTGTGTGTGTGTGTGTGTGTGTGTGTGTGTGTGTGTGTGTGTGTTGGGGCTATGGGCACGAATGATTTTTGAAAATTGATTTCTGGGTCACTAAGTTTATCAAATACCAAACTTGGCTGTATTTTAAATCTATGTTTCCATCCTCTTTTTTTTCCAAATTTTTATATATTTTTTTCTGGCATTTCCCTTTTGCAAGCTTCACTATAGATTTAACGGAAGATGTTTACTATTTGTGTGTGTGTGTGTGTGTGTGTGTGTACTGTGCATATGTGCTTAAGTGTTCATATGTGTGTGGGCACAAGAATGTGTATGTATGTACATAGGTGTGTGCATGTGGAGGCTGGGGGTTGACACTGGTTGTTTTCCTTCATCACTCTTCACTTTACATACTGGACGATGTATCTCACTTGAGCCCAGGACTCATTGATTCAGATGCTCTAAGTAGCCAGCTTGCTCAGGGGATCCTCTGTCTTTCTGTCTTTGCTTCTTGCATGCTAGGATTACAGGTCCTCATGCTTGCTGAGCAAGAGTTTTTATCTACTGAGCCATCTCCCAGATCTTCCTCCTTCCCCCTACCATTTATAGGTGTTTGGTAGGCAGATATTTTAAGATATGTCATGCCTTCTAAATTCTAGATTTCAGTTTATATGAAATAGCATCAAATATACACTTTTAAAACCAAATGCAGTGAGGTATGAAGGAGAGTGGAGCATCAGCAGTTCCTTATTGTAGCAGATAGAAAGTAGCATTCTTTGCTTCTTCATCTGAGGGATGTCTTGAGTAGACAGGGCTCAAGTGTAGCTACAAAGCTTAGGTCTGTCTGCTTTAAAATCACCTAATCAAATCACTGTCTTAACTCTGCCCATATGC